ACATAATACCGTTTTAATATTTGATTAAAATATAGTATTATAGAATATAATCTAGTAGAGTTAGAATACCTTTGATCAAACTGCCAGTTAAACAAAACATGCAACAAGCATTGGACTTGATGTCAAGAGAATTGACTTGAATTTTTGGTCAAAGACTTGGACTTGACTTGGACTTGCAAGACAAGACTTGCGCACATCTTTGCAAAACAGCAGCTAAAAGCTACAATTTTCAAAACAGCTGCTAAATGTAGTTTAATGGTAGATAAAAGCTAAAATATGCAAGACAGTAGCTAAAAGTTTAAAGGAGATAAAAACAAATCAAGTTTAAATAAATTTTAGAGAATTATAGTTTGAGTTATTTTCTGTAGTAATGTTAAATAATAGTAATTTAAAATGTTGAAGATTTACAAATACTGATGATCAAGCTGAATGTTTTGTAAAAGGTTAAAATAACCAGAACCAGGAAAACATTAAAGGTTCTTCATCATTTTAAAATCCTATCATTGTTTGATTTGATTAATCCACAGTAAATAAAGACTTTAAATGTTTTTTTTTTAAAAACACCGTTATGTTATTTCAGGAGCCAACGGTTTGGCCAACCCAAGAGATTTCTTGTGTCCAGTGGCTTGGTACGAGGACCGCCAAGTGCCCTCCGGTTACACCGTCATCAACAAGTACCAAGGAAAGCTGTTTGCTTGCCAACAGGTGGTTATTGTGACATTTAATTTYGTGTGTGTCACTGTGGTAATCGCACACACTGTCTGAGTGGGAAACACACAYGTAGCACACTTGCCCTATTACCCTATTTAGGTTTGAGTTTGCTTCAGTAAACCCCATCAAACTGCCACAGTGACTAACAGGAAACGGTCCAAGTGAAGCATGTGATCCATTAGCTGCTCCTGCYGGCTGAATTGCCATCCCTGATGATTTAATATCCAGGCTTTAGCTGTTATCCTTTCACTCGCTTTCCGCCTCGACTCCTTTATGAGTCTTAATCACTCATAATTAGTTAAGGCATTCTGGAGCTGCAGATGGCGTACCTGCAAAGCTTTGCATTGTGGGAGAGAAACCTTTTATCCAAGTAAAGCATTAATTTCACCATATTTCACTCGGAAAACGATCCTTCTCTTCCTTTCCTGTTGGGTGGATAATTGGATCGATTCGACACGTGATGTCTGACAGGATTTATTTTTTAAAATTGAGACGAAGAGGAGAGGTTCGACAAAGGCAGGGGTCAAGAGTTGTAACTAAGGGAACCGTGTCAAACTGCGGAAACGGCATTGACTGAAAATGAAACGTGACGGCTCAGAGATGAAATCTGATGAAGAAGCTGAAACTGAGCTGAAGCAGAAACACAAATAAGCTAAACAAAGCATTAGATACAAGTAAAATGGAGCAAAATGTTAGATAAAAGCCAAAAATAATCAAAATTCTTACTGAATGGAACAAAACAGTAGCTAAAAACACCAAAAGGCTAATCAAATGCTAACGTAGCTCATCATCCAAGAGCAGCATATGGCTAACAAAACCTAAAGTATCAAAGGGGTACCTGGAAGATGAAAGTAGCAAAAGGCAAGCCTAAACTAAAGTATCAAAATGGTAGCTAAAAGTAGCTAAATTTTARCTAAAAACCTCAGTAGCAAAAGGCTAATTATTAATATCAAAGGACTGGCTTAACAATAAAATTCTAAGCTAAAGTATCAAATGGAAAGCTGAAMGTAGCAATAAGMTAAAACTAAAGTRCCAAAATGGTAGCTAAAAGTGGCCAAATCGACCACTTTAGCAAAAGGCTAATTATAAATATGAAAAGAGTGACTTAACAAGTCTAACTGAAGCTAAAGTATCAAAAGGGTAGCTGAAAGTAGCAACAAGCAAGCTAAAACTAAAGAACCAAAGGATAGCTAAATGCTAAAGGTASCCATATTCTAGCTAAAAGCCACTGTAACAAAAGGATAATTATAAATACCAAAAGATTGGCTTAACGATAAAAGTTACTAGCTTATAAGCTAGTTAAAACTAGTGAAACATATGCTAATTTTGGCTAAAAGTAGCAAAATGCTAATGCTAAAACTAGCAAAAAGATAAYAAAAATAAAAAGTAGCAAAACGCCWGCCAAGAGCATCCTGATGGCAAGAAGTTACAAAGTCTAACTAAAGCTAAAAGCTGAAAGTAGCAAAAAGAAAGCTAAACTAAAGTACCAAAGGGTAGCTTAAAGCTAAATGTAGCTAAATTCTTGGTATCAAAAAATTGACTTAATGATAAAAGTTACTATGCTAGTTAAAACTAGTGTAACATTTGCTAATCTTGGTGAAAAGATGCAAAATTCCAACTAAATGTAACAAAAAAAAACCTAACAAAAAGTAGCAAAAGGCTACTCAATGGCTAAAACTAGCAAAAAGGTAACAAAAACAAAAAAGTAGCAAAAAGCTACTCAATGGCTAAAACTAGCAAAAAGGTAACAAAAACAAAAAAGTAGCAAAAAGCTACTCAATGGCTAAAACTAGCAAAAAGGTAACAAAAACAAAAAAGTAGCAAAAAGC